AGGACGATGTGCGGCACAGAGCGTTTCTACTGCGACTCCCTCCGCCAGGCCGCCTGCCGGGGACTGCCCTTCTACTGCCCCTTCTACCAGGCAGCAGGAGGTGAGTGTCCCCAGGATGCTGGTTGTGTCCCCAGGGTGCCCACAGGGAGCTGCTGCCATATGGCAGCACAGATCTCCCTGCCCTGCCCATTCCCTTCCTGCAGCCTGAAAACACCTCAGTCCTGGCACCAGCAAAATTCTGCCCCTTGCAGAGGGGTGAGGTTTCTGTGGGTGAGGATGGGGTGTCTGGGGAGCTCACATTACCACCTGCTGCCTCTGCCCAGCCCTGCTTGGTGTGAACCTGTGGCCAGCGGAGCCAGTGCCCCGATTTGTGCTGTGCCCTGACTGGGCTTTCTGCGAGTTCCTGCCCTGCCCGGCCAGCGAGGAGCCACAGACGGTGCTGCTGGATGAGCTCTGGGAGGGCCGTGAGTACGGGCTGGTTGTGACAGCCCAGCCAGGAGAGTACAGGTGCCTCCTCCCTGCTGTGTAGCCCTGGGGGGCTGCCTGCCCCAGCCCCATGCACCCATGTCCCCCTGACACCCCCCTGCCCTGCAGGTGCCGTACTGGGGAGGTGCTGAAGGTGACAGGCTTCCACAAGCAGTGTCCTGTGGTGGAGCCTGTGCGCAGGTGAGGACACCCCAATGCCTGTCCCTCACCTCAGGGAGCTGGGTTACAGGCAGGGTTTGACAGGAGGGTGCCAGTGACCCACTGTGTGTCCCTGCACCTCAGGGAGAGCCAGACACTGAGTGTGAGAGGTGAGAGCATCCCTGAGGAGCAGTTCTGCCAGAGCCTGTGCCGCACCCTCAGCCTGTGGCCGGGTGCTCGCCTGGTTGACTACGTCTGTGTGGAGAGCAGCCTGCTGGGTGAGTTCTTCTGAGCTGTCCAAATCCCCCTAAAAGTGTAGCTGGCACTGCATGGGGGTCTGCAGCCGATTCTGGCAGCTTTAACCTACTCGTGGTCCTGCTCCAGGTGACTCCTCAGGACCCTCTGCCCCCCACTATGAGGTGTTCCTGGAGCTGCAGGGCCTGCGGGACCTGTCGGAGGTGCAGCGCTACAAGGTGAGCAGGACACGGGCTCTGCTCTGGGGCTGAAGGACACAGCTGGTGTGGCAGTGTGGCACCAGCACAGGCCCTCTCCTTGCAGCTGGACCAGTGTCTCCAGGAGGATTTCCCCATCTACAAATCCTTCCGCTTCAAGGGCAGCATCGGGCCCCTGCGCCTGCACCTGGTGAGGCCCAGGAGCTTCACCCGGCTGCGGGAAGCACTGGGCTCCCCCGTGCCCATGCCCAGGGTCCTGCGTGAGGAGCAGCTGCTGCAGCTCATCCAGGGAGCAGTCATCTCCTAGGGCAGCCGTGGGGCCCCACAGCCCTTCCTCCCTGGCATGCACCCTCTGAGGAGGGGCCGTGTCCCTGGGGTGGGAGGGTGTGGGGACAAGGTGCTCATCCCCAAGGGCTTGCCTGAGTGGAGCAAATGGAGACAGTGAGCTTGACCATGATCCGTGGCAGCAGCTGGCACCACTCAGTGCTGCTGTGGAGGTGGAGCAGGAGCTTGGGAGCCTCAGGGGGCAGCTGCGAGACCCCCTCACTCAGTGCCTTGGCAGCACCTGCAGCCACAGTGTGGTGTGTGCCTTTCCCAAGGGACACCACAGCCCATGGCTGATGCTCAGTGGAAACCTGCAGCAGCAGGAGGAGCAGCAGAGCCGTGCCTCATCACTGGGGCCCTGTGGCATTTTGTCCCCTGGCAGGGACACTGCAGGCAGGGCTCAGGGGGCTGCTGGTGGCAGGTGTCACAGAGCAGCCCCACTGCATGTTTGTTGGTTTAAGAGTAAGCTCCGGTGAGGGCTGCTTTTAATGCTTTGGAAACCAAATGCAAAATAAAGGAGGATTATCTTTTTGAAATAAATAAAGGACCGCGCCCTGGGATTGATTTTTTTAGACTATTATTTTTAATCTTCAATAAAGAGATTGCTCAAGCAATCTGACTGCTCTGGGGGCTGAGGAGTTGCTGCTGTTCTCAGGGGTCCTGGGGAAGGGGCAGCCATGAATATTTAACCGGCTGAGCCCTCTGGGGGCACCAGGCTCTTTGTGCCTTTGAGGCACATGTGTACCCTCGGGAGGGACTGGTCATTTCCCCTCCTGCTCATTAAGGGTTATTTCCAGGGCTGGTGAGGGCGTGTGGGGCACCTGCTGTGCCGCAGCAGCTGCTGGTGGGCAGGAGATGATGTCTTGAGCAAGGCTCACACAAAGCAAAGCATCCCCCTCCAGGGATTAACCTGGCTGAGGCCTGCTGGAAAAACCTGGAGCAAAATTTCTGCTCCAGGTCGGGGAGAAGCTTTTCCTTGGGCTGAGAGCACCCCACAACAAAAGCCTGGAGCTCCGTGCGTGGCAGAGCCGAGCGGGGATCAGCGCTGGGCGGCTCTGCCTGCCCTGCCATGCCTGGGTACCACCCCGGTGGGA